TTTTTTTTTTTTAAGCTCATCCGTTGGAGTGAGTTTATTCGAAACTCAAACTCCTATTTTCCTAAACAACCTGAACTACATCATGACAAAGTTCAAGATTAAAGCTTGAATTTTGGAAAATTTTAAACTTAAACAAAATTCAGATCTGCCTTTATCCAAATGCTTGCCTTCACGCTCTATAAATTAATGATTTTGGGAGAACAAAATTACAGAGCAGCAACAGCGTCTGCAGCCAGGAGCAAAGCTTCAGAGTTTCAGGAACAGAGCTTCAAGAGTAGAGCTTCATTTTCAGAAATAGAGCTTCAGTCTTAGGAATAGAGCTTCAGTCTTTTGACTCCTTTACAGTGCAACGGCAGCGGCGACATTCTCCAATTGGGGCTGTTCAACCTTTTCCTTTTTTTCAGAGCAATTCTGGGGCAGTTTCACCTTGATTCTTTATTGTCACTATTGCTGCAGCGTCAAAGTGAGTATCCTTCACTTTCTTGGCTGTCTATTTTTTTCTTGTCTTGCTGTCATGATGACATCAAGCATGGTGCATAAACAGAAGACCCTCCACTTGCTTCCCATTAGGCCCCCTTTTTTTAACGCTGCACTTTTTTTTTTCTTTTTTCTTTTTTTTTGGCATGCCAGCATTCCCATTTTTTTGGGCACAAACTCCCCTTTTTTAAAAAGAAACTTCATTGGTGGGCACAACAATTTTTATAAATTTTTTTATAAATTCTGCTGCCTAGATCTTATGATTTTTGAAGAGTCCTATGCACTATTATCCCACCATATAATCTGGTGAAGATTGTTTTATTTTTTAAAACTGGCTGATGTACTCTTTTATTTGGGCCTCCTTCCCTGCATAGCCCAGCATCATTGGACAAAAAAAAAACCTTTACGTATGGGTGAAGAAGTAAAAGAACGTGTCAACAGTCTGTACATGGACATGAAATCGTCCGTGTCGGGTTTTCTTCAGGAATGTTGTAAAAAACTTTTTTTGGCAAAACTGCAATCTGATCCTTGAACCTTTTTTTTCTTATTGCTGTCCTCCAACTTTCTGTAATCTTGTGGTTTAGTCACCTAATTTGTGATTTCCCACAATCAAGTCCCTTGCATAAGCAAAAAACGGAACAGCTTTTTTTTTCTTGGCCCCAAAATTCTTGCTGCATGCACCACTTTGTCTTTTCTTTTTGTAGATCTCCCTTGCACTCTTGCTTGGTTGGTTTATTTGTTACAATTGTTGCACATTTATTGTGGTACTTGAAATTCTTGTTGTGCATCTATCTTATAGCATCCAAGTAAGCATCTATTTTGGAATGCCCATTATTGTTTTAATTCATGAACATAGCATGAATAATTTGGCCTTTTGTGTATGACTTTGTTTAGACATGGCTCCAAATCGAAGACTTGCTTCTAAGATGATTTCTACCATTGCAGTGTTGAAAGGTGACTGCATTGTTGATTCATCAGAACTTGAAGAAGTTGGACAATTCTTACGCTTCCCGTCAATTCTCATACGGTCATCTTCTTCGTCGGAGGCTAAAGAGCTTCAACTTGTGATACTTGAATCAACCAGTGGTCCCTATGCCATCGAAGGACTTTCCCACCTACTTGCATTGGAGATGCCCAAGCTCTATGAGTATGTGACCCTGGAAGGAGAAGTTTCATCAACTGCAAGCAATGCTAGATCTCTCCCTTCCTTGGTGCTTCCCTCTAATCATCTGGTTGATCATGCAACATCAACAGTGGTTGTAACGCAATTGATAGGCCGAGGAGCAAGCAAATGGTGTCGATCCATTGATCATTTGGGAAAGGTACCATTCCTAATTGGCTTTTGGGATTGGTCAACCTACACAGCCAAGATGCTAAGTCATCACAAGATGGGAGCTTTAGCAGTCGCAGTGTTATTATCCAATAATGACTAGTGTTGTCCTTCGAGCACGCTTCATGCCTTCATTGAGTTATGGTCCCCGAGTAGCAATACCTTTTGAACTTCTGCAGGAGAGGCTAGAATTTCTCTCCTAGAGATGCGAGACATTTTTTGGCTTGTCAATTCGAGTAACATACTATGAAGAGGTGGTTGCAATTTACAAAGAACGTATAGAGGATTTACCACCTTACTACTTGCTTCTGTTTAAAGCCTTTGCCATGATCATCCAAAGACAGAATTTTGATCGTGTAACATATGCTAAATGGCTCGACTTTTGGTACAATTGCAACCCACCATATGCTAATCCACTCAAGAGCAGATGATATCCAAATATGTCTAAGTTGAAGTATGATGGCAATGGGAATGTGATTTTAGTTCCTAAACTTGACCATCCATTGAAGTGGACATTTGGACATGAGACAAAACTAGGGGCCGTACCAGAACAATGGGATTGACTTGGCATGTTAGATGTTGCTTTGGAGGTGAATGATAGAGAAAAACTTTTGATTGTTGCCTATCTTTGTGTTTGGCTTGGTAGATTTGTTTTTCATTTGTCAGAGTCTGAACTTTCAAAGCTGTAGCCCAAATGACAATCAGTGTTACCTATAGCTTGGTTCTTCCTATCTTGGCATGCATTTACCATGGACTTCGACAACTGACAAAAGTGCTTGAAGGTTCATGAATAATGCAACTGAAACTCCTCTTTTTCTTAGACATTATTTATATGCCTGGATTGGTTTGCATTTTCCCCACAAGACTTTTGCAGCCAGATATAAAGCTTCTTTGCCTATGGTTCAGTAATTTCGTGGGGTTTTGCATACATACCAGCCCTGAGAACTAGAGGTAGTGGATTGTTGTGCAGTTTTACGAGGGGATTTATCCTCAAACGACTTTTGTTGGACTCCAATGCCCCTTCCAGCCCACCTGGGACCTCGAGTTGATGATGGGCTGCGACAGGCTAATGCTTTGGATTTCATGGTGAACATCAAAGCAGGTTATGTGGTGTTCCACCAAGAAAGCCACTTCACTAAGAAGTCTTACAATCCTCACCGATTTGCTGAACAATATGGATTTCAACAAAGACTTTTAGGAAGGCATGTCAAATTACCTCATGGTTGTGAAGTGTCGGATCTTTACTGCTTTTGGTTATCTTTAACCCGAGTGCATAGCAACATATTTCTTCATATCCCCTCAGCTGAAGGCGAAGTACCATCTAGGGATGACCTAGCCTATGTGAAATGGTGGAATGAAGAAGTTTTTCCTTCAATTTTTGCAATTAGCATCCAATTCTTGAAGGCTAGCAAGGCTAGAAATTTCACCTCATCCCTAATGAAGAGCACTGTGATTAAACCTCAAGGGAAAGGGAAACAACTTCAAGCGCTATTGTCTCCCTCACAGAAGTGAAATATTGTTAATAACCCTAGTCCATCTTCAAAGAAGCAGAAATACAACACAAGTCCTCAAAGAGTGCCCAACTCTTTGCAATAGTCACCTTCCACGCCTACTACCCCACAAACCACTAATCAAGTTTTGTATGAAGTTAAGCATATTTCCTTACATTTTAGACAAAACCTCCTTTTTTTTGTTTAAAATTCTTTTGTTGTTGACTTTTTTTTTTCTTTCAAAAATATTTAGCTCCCCAAAATTAAGAGTATTACCAGGCAACGCAAAAATGATTAGTGCTTTTAGATGATTTTCTTGAGACGGACACTCTTGAGAAATTTGGATCACTTCCAAGCCAAATTGATGGAGGAGTTTCATCCTTGAATGTTGGTGAGCAAGTAATTGTCAAAGATGGGGAAGTTGACTCTCGTGAGAGACACCCAAGTGTGAAAGAAACCGTTGGACTTAATCCTCCTACCATGATATCGTCTAATCCATAAAAAATGAAGCGTACATTCTTCTGCATCACAATGCCTTTGGAACCAATTAGCTCTCAAGCACTGGTGAAGCCCATCCTTTTAAAGCTATGAGCAACTATGTGCAACAGAAATTTTCAGGAGTCTTCCAGAATGGCTTTTCTGGGCTTGACAGTGGTGGGCAGAGCGATCTGCTACAATCTCAGAAGCACTTCAACTTTATTTTTGCATGGATGTTGCCCCTTTACTCAAGATGATGGATGCTTACCTATCTAAGGTAAATCTTTACTTAGCAAAATGAGATGAAGTCTCTACTAGCTTGGATGTTGAAGAAAGAGATAAATTTGTTGCTGCCTTATGGAAGGGGATATCATCAAATTAGATCGTCCATGATTCTCTTTCAAAGGAAATCAATGAACTCACCGAGAAGAAGGGATCCCTATAGAGTAAGATTGAAAGTTTGAAGAAGGAGCTAGAATTAGTTGAGCAGCAACATAGTGATGTGACTTCCACACTTGATTTGCTCCTTGAAAAAAGGCAGATGACAGATGGCAGAAGAACAACTTTAGTCCAACCAAGCAAAATTGATAGAGTTGGAAAACTCTAAAGTTATAGTTGTTTAGATAGTTGCTGAAATGGAAAGGATGTGATATGACCTTGAAACTGAGTTTGAAGCCATAAGAAAAGGGACTTGAGTTGAAAACAACATGTGATGTTGTTCAGTTTGTATTCTTTCCCCCCTTTTTTTTTTTTTAAGACTTTGAGCATTCCTTCTTCAAAGACTTGTCAAATTTTGGCTTAAGCCACTTTGTGAATAAATAAAATGCATTTTCTTCACTTTTGTTGTTTTCTTTGCTTTGCTTTCTTTGCTTGACATAGACATTTCTCCTTTTGTTGGAATACTTAAGATGAAATGAACCATAATCAAAAGCAAACTTAAATTTATTTTAAGAATTTAACTAAACTTGGAGAAAACACTAAGCTGCCTACGTAACTTTTTTGGGGATCAAGTCAAACGTAGTTCAAAGATTTTTTATTTTTTTGAGTCGTTCACAGTTTATACTCTTGTGGGCCAGGAGTATTACATTTTTTTATTTTGGTCATACAGTTTATACTCTTGTGACTAGGAGTATTACATTTCTTTTTTTAAGAGTAAAACTTGTTGAGGAACTTTCCATTAATGGGACCAATCAATAGGCCATCTTTGTCAACAATCTTGTAGGCCCCATTATTGTAAACTTCTATTACAACATAAGGACCATCCCATTTTGAAGTGAACTTGCCCCCTGAATGGCAAGTGATAACAATTGGCCTTCAAACAGCTAACACCACATGTCCAACTTGAAATGCCCTTAGTCGGACCTTCTTGTTGAATGCCCTAGACAATCTAGCTTGGTAACACTCTAAGTGTTGCTGGGTCTCTAGTCTTTTCTCATCTAAGGCTTCCAGTTCTTGGAGATGGAGCTTGACATTTTGTTCATCAGTAAGACCTTCTTGAATGGCAATCTTGAGAGATGGAATTTGGCATTCCAAAAAGAGAACAGCTTCAACTCGATACACAAGAGAATAAAGAGTTGCTTTTTTTGGAGTACGATGAGTCGTTAGATATGCCTAAAGTGCTTCACCAGTTCTTTCATGCCAATCCCACTTAGACTTTGAAACAACCTCATTAAGGAGATTGCAAAGGGTTTTATTAAAAGATTCTGCCAGTCCATTTGCAGCAGCATTATACATGGAGGAAAAATGCTGGGCAAACTTGAATCTTGCACATAGCTTGTCTATGAGACTGTTACTAAAAGGCTTGCCATTATTTGTAATTATGTACCTTGGAACACCATATCGGTAGATGATATTGACTCGAATGAAGTCTACAACATTTTCCTTCTTGACTTCTCTCAAAGGTACAGTCTTCACCCATTTCGAAAAGTAATCAGTTGCTGCTAGGATATATGCATGCCTAGCTGAGGATTTTAGTGTTATGGGTCCAATCACATCTAAACCCCAAGCATCAAAAGGCCATGATGCTATTGTTGGATGTAAAGGCTCCGGTGGCTAATGAATACAGTTTTCATGAAATTGACATGCTTCACATTTCTTCATGTATTTCATACAATCCTTTACCATTGTTGGCCAATAATATCCCATTCTTCTTATTCGGTAGTGAAGCTTTGGGCCAGACTGATGAGTTCCACAAATTCTGGAATGCGCCTCCTCAATCACTTTGGATGATTTATCTCCATCCAAACATCTAAGGAGAACTCCATCAAAAGATTGCTGATAGAGGGTGTTACAAAAGTAAATAAAGCATAAAGCCCTTTTCTGAATTATAGACTTTTGGCGTGGATCATCTGGTAGCTTTCTATGCTCCAAGTAATTGATGATTGGTTGTCTCCAATCTTCTTTCTTAATGACAAAAACTGGAACAACATTGCTTTCTGCATCTTTAGTGTTGACTCAATGCACTCCAAGAGGGGAGATGAATTGGATTTCCAAAAATTCTCCCCCTTTTGCAACCACAAAACCAAAATTAAAGAGAGTAGAGAAGAAGAGCTTGCTCAATGATTTATAGAGGTTCGGTCCAACCACTTGGAGCCTAGTCCTCTACCTTGGCTTCACTCACTAAGGATTTCCTCCACACTCTCCACTAACAACAACAAGGGTGGCTTAAAGGAGCCACTCAATCCTTTTACAAGAATAAGGGTGTTTCTCTCAAATCTCACCCCTTTACAATGTAAACCCCAAAGATCCTCTCTACAGATCACTCTTGAAGGAATCAACACACCCCCAAGATCACTCACTAATAGCACAAGAAGAGGATTACAAACAAAGATCTCTCAAAGATCAAAATCCCAAGTTAAAGCTCATGTAGGTAGGTAAAGATATTCAATACAATACTCTTTAAACTTTTTTAAATCTGTTACCAACCATATTTATAGCCCCTTGCTCGAAAATAGCTGTTTCTAGCCGTTGGGGGTATTTAATGCTTTGCAGGTCGCTTAATTCGAGTTGCAGAATTGTCAGTAGAGTCGGCTCTATACAGCCGGCTCACCATTTCTGCAGCCGGCTTTGTGGGATTCCTGCACATTATGTTTTCCTCGAGAGCCGGCTGCAAGACTTTGGCCGGCTTTGGAACTCCGACTTTAAATACATTAAATATTCTTCAAAAGAGTCGACTGTTGTACATTAAATGCGCCATTAGAACCAGCTATAAAGTTGGAGCCGGCTTTGCTTCTATTTTCCGCGCACGCCAACACAGTAGTTGAATTTCTAGCCCATAGAGCCGGCTCAACAAAATCTGCAGCCGGCTCTCTGCACTTTTGCTTCCCAAAGCTGGCTGTAATTTTCTTAAGTCGGCTCTCTGCACATTTTTACCTTTTGAGCCCTTTTTAATGCAATCTCATTTTGCTTACTTTGCAGTATATTGGCAATTTAACTACACACTTAAATAAATCAATTAGTCACTCAAATGTGTTTTGTAATCATCAAAATCATAGGTACAACATTTAGATCTTAGTTGAGGTGAAATCCATCATGGGGATACAAAAATAGTGACTTCTTGATTATCGAGACTCACAATGACAACAGCTAAATTAGCCAAAGCATCTGCTTGCTTGTTTCAACTTCTAAGAATATGGGCAATTGAGATATGATCAAATTTCTCGAGGAGTTGATAGGCATATTAGAAGTATGGGCCAAGATCTGGTTTACGAACATCAAACTCCTTTATGAGTTGATTCACTACCAAGCTTGAGTCCCCATAAACATTGAGTTGGTAAATTTGCATTTCAAGAGCCATCTCCAAGCTGGCAATCAATGCTTAATACTTAGCAACATTATCAGAGCATTGTTCTTTTAAAGTAAAAGAGAATGGTATTACTTCATTTTTTGGCATTACAAACACTACGCCAGCCCTAGCACCATCTCTTCTTGAGGCTCCATCAAAGTAGAGCTTCCATGATGGCCATACATCTATGAAGAACACTTCCTCATCTGGAAGACCTTCTAACAACTCCCATTCAGCTGGAATTGGATGATCTGCAAGAAAATTAGCTAAGGCTTGTACTTTTATTGCCTTTTGTGGCACATAAATTATTTCAAATTCAAACAATAATAATGCCCATTTTTCTAATCTACTAGAGCACACTGGTTTTGACATGATGTATTTTAAAGAGTCTGCTTTTGAAATAAGATGTATTACATGTGCCAATATATAATGTCTCAATTTCTTTGTAGAGAAGATCAAGCCAAGGCAAATCTTCTCAATGGCTGAATAATTCACTTTTGCCCCCACGAGAGTATGGTTCAAATAATAGAGAGCATTTTCTTTTCCTTTCTCATTGACTTGTGCTAGTAATGCTCCAAAGGAATATTCTTGTGCAGTAAGACAAAGGATCAATGGCTTCCTTGGAATGGGTGCAAAAAGAACTAGAAGGTGAAGGAGGTATTTCTTAACGCTTTCAAAGGCATTTTGACATGCTTCATCCCATACAAATGGTACATCCTTCTTCATTAACTTGTTAAATGGATGACACTGTCCAGCAAGGTTTGAAATGAACCTCCGAATGTAAGTCAGCTTGCCTTGGAGAATTTTTAGCTCTCAAAGATTCTTTGGGGACAACATGTTCACAGTTGCTTCTATCTTGGATTGATCAATTTCAACACCTCGATGGCTCACAATAAACCCCATAAATTTGTTAGAGGAAACACCAAAGGCACATTTTAATGGATTTATTTTTAGCTGGTACTTGCGAAGTCTATCAAACATAACTTTCAAGTCGTTGAGGTGGTCTTTATGTCTCTTGGATTTAACAACCAAGTCATCAACATAACATTTAACCAGCTTATGCAATATGTCACTAAAAATCTTTTGCATTACACGTTGGTAAGTGGTTATGGCATTTTTCAACCCAAATGGCATAACTTTGTAACTGTAAATACATTATGGTGTTCAAAAAGCTGTAAGCTCCTCGTTCTTGGGATTCATGCAAATTTGGTTGTATCTTGAGAATCCATCCATAAAGGACAAAACTTCATGCTCCATGGTTGCATCTACCATAAGTTCTATGATTGGGAGTGGAAATCATCTTTTGGGCATGCTTGGTTTAGATCACAAAAATCTACACACACCCTAAGTTGTCCATTCTTTTTACGAACTGGAACAATGTTTGTAGTCCAAGATGGATAATGGACCTTTCAAATGAAGCCGGCTTCAATCAACTTGTCAACCTCAGCTTCAATTTGAGGGATAAGCTTTGGACGGAAATGTCGTTGAGACTGTTTCATTGGGCGTACCCCATGCGTCATGGCTAGACGGTGAATAGCTACCTTAGGGTCTAAGCCTAGCATCTCTTTGTAAGACCATGCAAACACATCCTTGTACTTGGTGAGCAATTGCACATATCTTGCCTCTTCTTCTGAACTCAACGATACATTGAGAAAAATAGGCCTTAGATCATCTTTTGTATCTAGGTTATGTTGCTTTAACTCATCAATGGTAGCTTGTCTTCCCCCCTTAAAGGCTTCTGGGGCTGGATTTGGTTCTTCATCTAAATAATCATCAGAGTAAAAAATTTTCTCAATTGAGACATGGTTTGATTCTGCTACCTTCACCTCAGCAAAAAGCTTTGAGATCTCTTGCCCATCAAAGATGTCTTTACGCCTCCATTGAAACTCCTTTCTTTGCACATACTTATTCTTGTTCTTTTGAACTTTCTGACTCTTAGATACTTTCTTGCTATTTTGCTGCTTAGCACCAAGTCTATAAAAGACTAAAGGCTTTTGAGAAAGATTCTCTTGGATTGTCAGTGGGGAGGGAACAGGCCCTAGTCTTTCAAAAACTAACACTCGGACATTCTCTTGCTAAATCCTTTCTAAAACTGAAACTCGTACTTGTGGAGTCCCTTCAACATTGTTAGTTTCAAAAATCTGGATGGTTATGGGATTGGGGCCTTCTTTTTTATCTTGATCTTTACAAGTTCAGATGATTGAAATCCAAGCCCATACCTTTGCTTTGGTATAGTTTCTCTTTTCAATATGGCTTCTTTTTGAGTTCGGGTTTCTTGAGTACCTATGAGGATAGAGTTCAAATCCCCAAGTTGTTGAGATTCTCTTTCTTTGAAACCAATCTTTTTTAGCAACATTTGAGGACGTGGATCAAACCATCCTTGAGGTTTCTTTTCATGTTCTATGACTATTTCAACTACCTCTTTTATAACTGGGTTAGAAATACCCAGTTTAGAGAGTGTGGACAATGGAAGCACAAGATCTTCTTTGAGCACCTTCACATCCTCTATTGAAAGATGAACTTTAGAACTTGAAGATGGATCTTTTATGGGGTGAACAATGATTTTTCCATCATTCTTTTGCTTTATTTGTGGCATCTTGATAGGAAAAGCTTCAGAATCATCGTCTTCCTTTTCATAAAAGTTAGCATCAGAAAAATGAGACTCTTCTTTAGTGAAAGGATCTTTCTCAGCCATAACACATTTTGTTTTGCCATTAGAATGATATTTAAAACATTGATGCCAAGTTAACAGAACTTCCCCATTTTCATGAATTAATGTTCGTCCCAAAAGAAGCTCATATGATGTTTTAGCCTCAATGACATGGAACAAAGCTGAGGTTGCCATGTCTACAATTTGAAAATTAATGTGAATCTTGCCAATTGCATGCTGACCCTTTTAGTTAAAGCCTTGGATTATGAGTTTACTGTTAGTCACTTCATCGACAGTTACTCCAATCCTTTTCATGGTGTAAATTAGCATTATGTTGACAGTTGATCCATCATCAATCAAAATTCAATTCATTTTGTGATCTCGAACAATGCCACTCACATAAAGAGGCCTGTTATGTTTGTGGGCTCCAAGCTGTAGGTCTTCATCTGTGAAGGTTATTGTTCCTAAACACTCAGCCTTAGTTTCTGGCTTGGCAAGCTCGCCTTGGAACCTTTTTGGGTCTAACATAGCTTGTTCAAGAGCAAGTCATGTATCCCATGGAAGCTGCAAAGCTTTAGATAACTGTAAGTCGGATGGAAGTTGCTTCAATTTCTTTATACTTCCATCGGTTTCAGGATAATTTGATTGGCTCTTAGAACCCTCAACTTCTTCTTTAGGTGGCAGTTTATTTTCTCTCTTAAAACTTGTGACATTAATAGATACAACCTCATTGGAAAAATATCCCTTTGGAAAGTACTCGTAAAGAGTAACTACAGCTCTTTCTTTTGAGTGCACATCTTTCTCAAATAGTGACGTTCTTTTCTTAGGAACTTATCGACGTCTTTTTTGCAAGTCAGACCTCTTTTTCACTGCCTAACGTCATTCTTGATTTTTTGGTGGAGTTGGCAAAGCTGGAAGTAATGAATGATTTTGTTGGATGGTTGGTAGTGTGGGTCTTGAATGACGCCTCCTTCTTCGTGACTAAACTAGAATCCACCCATCATCATCACTGTCAAGGGCAGGAAACTCAAAGTTTGAACACCATCCAGTCGGCTTTATCTCTAGATATATACCATACATAACCTTGTAAGGATTTGGGAATCGCATTGCACTAAAGACTAGATTATGGTGTTTTTTGCTCTTACTAATGAAGGTTGACCAACCATCACCAACCTCATTTTCTAACTCATATGATGATTCCTAATCTTCAAGATTCACCATCATATGGTCATATAAGGAAAGATAGCTTGGACCTCCGAAAGTAGGCATGCTAGAATAAGCATAGGCTATCTTCTCTTCATCATTTGTTTGAAATTTAACTTGAATTGCCTCCTTAGGCAAGTGGAGACCAAACACCTTAGGTTGAGCCATCAGTGGGTTGGTTGCATAGGCAGGAGTGGAGCTCGACTGAAGGATCCAAAGGAAATCATGACAACATTGGTGGCAGCGGAACCTTCTTCACTTTCTAGTTGTATTTTGCCTTCTTTCTCAAGACAAACTATCAGATCTTTCAACACAAAACACTTACCGATTGGATGACTCACAATTCGGTGATACTTACAGTATTTCGAATCATTCACTCTCCCGACTTCCTTTGGGCACTTAGGAGTTGGAAGTTCAATTAGGTTGAGTGCCAACAATTGCTTAAAGATAGCCAGCACTTCAAAGTCTGCAAATGGATACTCCTTTTATTGCAACTCCTTCAATGTAGACTTCTTCTTTTGGCCCTAATCCTTAACAATCTTGACACCTTGTTTGGGATTTGGCTTTGGCTTTGGCTTTTGTTGTGAGATCTTCCCAAGTACTGTTGTGACTGCCATAGTTTCTTTTGCTTTTGAAGGCTTCACCTTCTTTTTCACATCCTTTCGAGACTCTTTTTTATCACGAGTGTTTGTTAGAAGAAAGTTACCATGTCTAGCAATTTGAATTTCCAAGTCATGGGCACGAGTGGCCAACTTTTTAAAGATATGTGGCATGTTAGCTTGAAGGTTATACAGCAGTCCCCAGTGCACACACATATAAATAAAAGAAATCTCACTAATCTTTTCTCGACAATTTAGGACGAGATTCCTCCATCTTTCAATGAAGTTTGTCACAGACTCATCTTTCTTTTGCTTAGTGTTAGCAAGCTTAGGTAGGCTAACAGTACGCTTGGTATTGTAAAAACGTGTCAAGAATTCCCGTTCTAGCTGGTCCCAACTATCCACTAACCCAACAGAAAGGTCGGTGTACCATTTGAAGGCTACATTCTTTAAGGACTAGACAAATTGTTTCACCATGAAGTCCTTGTAGGTGCCAGCATTGTTGCATGTTTCAACAAAATGGGCGATGTGTTGTCTTAGGTTGCCCTTCCCATTGAACTTTTGAAATTTTGGTGGCTGATAGCCATCTGGTAGGCTTAGATTATCAATCTTGTGAGTATAAGGCTTGGCATACATAAGTGAGGAGTGTGAGGTCCCACCTTGCCAAGTTCGAATGACATCATCAACTAAAAGTTTAAGCTCTGGGAATGTAAAAGATGCCACAGTAGCATGAGTAGTGTCATGGAAAGCATTTTGGAGAATTGTTTGATCTAGTTGCTCTTGCTTTTGTTGCTCCAAGCTTTCCTCCATAGCAACTTGCTTACCCCGATCTGAAGTCCTCAACGGGTCTTGTTTTCGAGGGTTTTTTTAGTAGCTAAGCTTGATGCTGCTTGGTTATTTTGGTTTAACAAGTGTTGAGTTGCCAAAAGTTCCTGGAGTTCCTTGATTTGGGCATCCTTTTCAGCCACGGCTTTCCTTAAGCCTTCCACAGCCTTGAGGAGAGTATCTTGGTCACCAGATGTCGCTTCAATAACCAAGGTAGGTAGGAGGGACTCAGGTGGTGAAGAAGGACAGTCAACCCATCTTAACTTTGAAGTAGGCACATGACTGGGCTTGAGACTAATTTCTTCACCTTCACTAGATTCTGAGGAGAAGTACTCGACATCCTTCATAGGTTGGAAAGGTGACTGGATGGCTAATGATCATTATCATAACTCAAAATTTTAATAGAATTTTATTTTTATTTCAGCTAACATATTTTGCCTTTGCTTTGCTTTCCTTGTTAGGTTCGTGAGCAAAACGAGGGATTTTGTGAAGAGGATTAGAAAAGAAGTTGGAAGACGAGGAACTAAATTGAAGAAATGGAAAGTTGGAAGGGTGAAATGCATTAAAATTCCTTAAACCCAAAATCCAAAATCCACAATCCACAATTATCCAAACCCAAAACCCAAAAGCCTAAAGCCCACCTACCCAAACCCAAAAAAACCAAAACCCAAAAAAAAAAAAGGGTAGAAATCCTTCCCCGCTTCTTGAAAAGCTGTTCTACAACTCTACAAGCGGTTTTGCGCCTTCTCTAGTCATCCGTTCCTTTTTGCATCTATGTCCTGTTCTTCATCAAGATGGCCCACACTTCAGAAGCCTTGTACAAGAGACAGAGACCAAAGGCTATTAGTCCTTTGCTTTCCAACCTACAGAAATCAACAGCTATCGAGAGGTTGAAAGGGTTCAATTTTGGCATTTTAAGGATTAAGGGTGGAGAAGAAAAAGGCCAAATCGAAAGGCTAGGGATGGATCTGAGTTCTTTTTTTCTTTTCTTTTCTTTTGCTTTTTTCTTTTAGTATAAATAGGGGTGTTAAGGAGTAGAAAAGGGTTTTTTTTTTTTTGTTTGGATGTGGTGTTGATGGCGGAGAAAATGAGGGATTTTTTTGCTGGAAGGAGATTGTTTTGTGAAAGGAGATTGTGGATTTCATCTCATTGCTAGGCATAGCTCTCAACAAAGTATTCTTTTTTAGGAAAATGGTGAAGGAGATGGTGGAAGCTTGATTTCGTGGGTGGGATTCCTTCCATCATATCCAGATCTGTTTTTCTTTTAAAGATACGTCGTGCTTGTTTTTATTTTTTTGTAGGTGTTTGCTTCTCTTTTTTAGATCTAATGTTAAGCTTGTATATTTGTCATTGGAAAATTGAAGGAAAAAAATAAAAAATAAAAAAAAATTTGTTTAGTTCATTTTGCCTGATGAATGTGCTTTTTTTCCTTTGATGAATGTGTTCTTTCTTTTGAAAATGATGAACCCTAATTTTAAGTTTCTTTTTTTTTTTTTTAATGTTCGATCTGTTTTTGTCTACTTCAAATGACGGGTTGTGTTTCTGGATTGGGTCAACTCGACCCAGTCTAATAAAAAAAAGAAGGCCAAAAAAAAAAAACGAGAGGCTAAAACGAACAAAAAAAATGTATATATATATATATGTATAAGAATGATTAATAATTAAGTAGGTTAATCAATTTAATTTATCATGGTTAATTAAATTAATTAAGTTTAATTAAAATAAATTAATCATGTTTATTGGCTTTAATTTGAGATTATTAGATTTATTTAATGATCTTAATTAAAGGTTCATAAATATGATTAATTAATTTTAATTAATCTTACTTAATGTCAAATTAATCATTTAATTAAACTAATTATCATGGTTAATTAACTTAAATTCTTAATTTTCTTTAATTTTGGTTAAAGTCAAAATTATCTTTATTCATTTCAAATTTCACCCAAAAACTTTTATAATTAAGCAATTTAGTCCAAAGGTTTCAAATCTTTTCAAATCAGTCCTCTATGTTTGTGATTTAATCAAGTCAGATCTCCATGTTTTTGAATTTAATCAAGTCAGTTCACTTAATTTTTTACTTGTGCTCATGGTGCATGCATGTCTTTGATTTTGTCTATTTTAGTTCAAAAGTTTAAAAAATGTTACAATTTGGTCCATCTATTTTTCAAGCTTACTTATTAAGACTTAAGTAAACAAATAATGAATAAGTTGAATCAAAACCCCAATGTTAAAGTATGCAATCGTGTTTAAACGGAGAATTGTGAGGTGCGCATATGCCTTTCATCACTCCTAATCGAACCCTCGAACCCCGATCTTTGTGCAGACTCATTTTAGATGGCTTGTTCCACCTTATAATTTGGACGAGTGGCGACTCTTTCTCTTATATTTTTCAAACTTAACTTAATGTTTTTTTAAGTTGTGTGGTCATCAACAGATAGGCAACTCCACTGGGGATCGAACCCAGAATCTTTAGTTTCCATATTCAGGGTTCACGAGGGTCAAGCTAATACTTTAACTTTGAGGAATTTTTCAGCTTTTGATTTTCTTTGTTTGTTGAGTCTTTGTGGGTCTTTGTCACTTATTGAATGTGCTTATTACTTGTTTGTTTGTTGCTTGTTTGCTTGTGGTTTTGGTGGTTGAGTTTATTTGTTTTTGTCTTTGAGTAATTATCTTGTTACATGTTGACGTGCATCATACAATCTCATATGCTCATCCATCATTGATTTTACATGCTATTCATCATGCATCATACTTACATGCCTACTTGCTTATGTATTGATATATACTTACCTTTTACATTTGGCTATGGAGTACTTGGTGAATCTCTTCCCCCTTGTGAGATTATTTATATTTTGTCGCATGTTGAGTGTTGGTTGCTTTGTGTTGCTTACCTTTTGCATTTGGCATGGGAGTACAAGATGAGTCCATTCCTGTTGTGTAAGTAGGTTTGTTTGTAGATGCTATATCCGTTGAGTGCTTTACATGCTTTATTTGCTTGTTGTGGGATATATGTTACTCTTTTTTGTGGTTGCTATTATGCAGGTTATTAGTGTCATGCCCCTTGCACACACTCACTCTCATTTTGCATTAGGTCCATGTCGAAGGTGAACCCGACCTCTAGTCTAGAATCCTTACGAATCTGGTTTGAAAGAGCAATTCTTCCCGCTTTGAGGAGTAAGATTGGTCCCCGTTAGGTTGTTTCCATTAGTTAATACGACTCTTGATGATGTAATATTATCCTATGTATTAGTGTAATACCCCAAAATTTCAAGAACAAATAAGTGTGAGTTAGGGACTAAACGACGAAGAAACATTGTTAATGGACCTAATTGTCAATTTGTCAAACTTCAAAGGGGTTCAAACCCTTATTGGATAAGGGCGGCTGACTCATCTTTTCCTTTTTGTTTTCTTCTTCCCTCCTTTCCAGCCATTTTCGCGTTGCTCTGTTTTTCTCCCTGCTGCAGCCAAAGTGAACCCAGCCATTTTCCAGCGTCCCCATCTGCAAAATTGGTAAGAGAACTTGAGGGTTTTTGTTCTTCTCTTGCCCAAGAACAAGTCTAGGACTTAGGACCTCTCTTTCTTGCAGAAAAGCCGCCAGATCTGCTCTGTTTCTTCTCCCTCTGCCGCCGGCTGTTGCTGGGTATAAGCTCCGGTTTTTCCTGGTAAAATCAGCCCAGAAACTCCTCTTTTCAGCCTTGATTTATGTTAGGTCACTCTAATCTTGTTGTTCTTTCAATTGCTAGTGGCCCCGTGAAAGTCCCCCCAATTTTTTCCCATCGGCTCTCCCCCATACCGCCAGCTCCAGCCTTGCTTGCTGAGCATTTCTGGTAAGTTGGCTTCTCTAATCTTCAAAAATTAGTGGATTAATGGCGGTTTGTGAGTTAATTGGTTGTGTGGGTGTTTGGGTTGTCCAAAAACAAGATGCCAGAGGTGGGGGATGAGTCTTGGCAATTGGAAAATGGGTTTTGGTTGATGATTGGTGTAGGAGATTAGTGGGTTTGATTGTTGCGTGATATCCGAGAGAAAAAGGGGAGAATTCTGTGAATTGGCCATATTTTTTTTCAAGGCCGGTTCTACCAAATTCCTGTCCATTAGTTTGAGAAATTGTATATCTGTAATTGTGTAATTGTGTAATTGTGTATACATAGATATTAATTGAGAACATTGTGATTAGGTCCTTGATTGTCCTGTGGCCTTAGCACTTGGATTAGGCCTTCTGTCCTGTGTGATTAAGGTAAGTAAATTATGATAATACCCTTTGATTTTAAAAGCATGTTTTGATTTGTTTTTGAAGTGGTGGCGGGACTAAACCCGTTTTATACAGAAATGAGCATGATTGATTTGAAATGAGATTTTGATGCTTTTCATTAAATTGAGCATGCCTACTTGAAATTTGATTGATTGTCCTGATGATTTGAAAGTGATTGGTAAAGAATGATTTTCTGTGAACTTTTGCCTGTTTTGTCTTCGATATGGTTATGTTATTGATTGTAATCCTGCTAGTGGGGGTTAAACGCTAGCACATGTCGACATGTTATTGATAGAACCGGTTCGTTCAAGTGTAGCCTGCCAGTGGGAAGTTTAATACACTGGCCATGACCTATAGAGGAGACGTCTATTTCGTTCCCGTATTGTACCCATTTTTGTGATTACACTTGTTGGCATGCTATAAGTTAATGAGGGCACTCCATGTTTTACTTACTGGGATATTTTATCTCATAGTTTTTCCTTGTCCACCATTTCAGGTAGTGAGACCCGACGCGTGGGAAGCCCGGGGGAGTGACGAGCTAGACGGCTAGGCACTTTTGGACTTAGGTTTTTGTAGCTAAGCCGTTAGTCACCCATGCTTGACATAGAAAATTTTGTGTACAGAACGTAGTGTTAGTCATGATTTTATATATATGAAGTGATAAATATTGTACATTTGACTGGTAACTATTTGGTAAATTAAAAGGCTTAAATCTGAATTACTAAGTAAGAACTCAGTAGGTCTCGAGCCTTGTGCATTTGTGGGCCTCGCCCACGAGTGCACGGCGTTTGTCGCGCCTCGAATTCGGGTTTTGGGGCGTGACAATTAGCTTTTGGAAATATCTCTCATTGATTCCGAAAGGATAAATGGTTGAGAAGGCCTAATGCCCATTAGAAAAACATGTATTGACCTTAGAGATATACCAACCCTAGGACATGTTTCCCTTAGCATCCCACCCGTGAGGTTAGAGATCCTGTGTCTAAGACACAAAGGTCATTTTTCTTCACTAACTTTGTCTCCGCACATGATAGGTTTTTGTTCTTATATGCATTTGAGGTATGATTAGTAATTCATCTTCAGCATTTAGACATCATTCTTGAGGTTAGGAACATTCCATACACTTTGTATCTTCATTTTCAACCCCATATATCATTAAAAAAAAAAAGTTCATGATTGTTTCACATGTCGTATATCCATCCCATTCATTTCACATTAAATCTTCCATATGTCTTGAAAAATTCATGTCATATGTTCATTGCATTGCCTTGCCTTTTCCATCTAATGCATCACAAAACATGTTTTCATATTCATCTCATGTGACATTCTCCATTCTATTCATTTTACATTTCATTTTTCATCTCATATTTCACAAAAATTTACAAAAAAGTGAAATCCCATCCATGTTTATTTCTTTTCTTGCATTCCCAAAAAATGCATGCTTTAGGATACAATTTCACACACGTTACCACTTGCCAGCATATTTATATTCTTGCATCCTTTATCTTTCATTTCCCATCTATGTTTATTTCTTTTCTTGCATTCCCAAAAAAATCCATGTTTTAAGATACAACTTCACACACATTATCACTTTAGAGCATATTTATGTTCCTTCATCCTTTATCTCTCATTTGGCATCCATGTTTATTTCTTTTCCTACACTCCCATAATCTTTTTTGATTCTCTACCTTCAACAATTAAAATATGAATTCATACATGGTCAAATGCGATTCTTCGTCAGTCAAGACACCTTCTGAAATATTCATCTGTGGAGAAAGCTTTGACCAACAAAGGATTAAGGAGATCTCCAATCACAAACATTTCTCTCCTATCATTCATAATTGCCAAGGCCACGGGGCAAGCTTAGGAAGACAAGAACCAAGAGTAGCCTTGAAGATCAAAAGCTCAAGCACATCACACTTTATGTGGCTCTAGCAATCAAGGGATTCTCCAAGGAAAGGAATGCAACTACTCATTAAACAATTGTACTTTGAAAGATCCAGGAGTTAGATTTTACTAGGGACTTGAATGCTACCATGTTGATGTACTTAGTGTGATGTACTAGGCTTCTACATTGTAATGAATGACAATCTTTATAATGCATGTTGAATTGCTTGTAAGTGTCCTTTCTATAGCCCTTGGAGTCTGATGGAAATCTCAAGGCGTTCAAAGATATTTTGCTTCACCTGAGGCTCCTTAAGGATTGGAAATCGACAATGTGTGAATCCATATAGTAATTGTTGAAGCATTAAATCATGCAAAATTATGGGATGACTTCTAACATTATTCTAACGTTGTTTATTTTTCTTTTACTTTCTGTTTGTAGGTAGGCTTTGTAAACTACTTCAATAATAATAATAATAATAATAATAATAAACAAATCAAGCATGGTAGTCCCTCTATATTTTCTCTCTCTTTGGAGCATTGCATCATCCATCTAGAAGGCAACTTCAACATGCTTTTATAAGCTCATCAAAATATGATATTGAACATTCCTTTTATTCGCCTCATCTCTTAATTGAGTATATGAGTTTTTTTTTTTAAGCAATGACAAGACTATTGAGCATCAAGGTGAAAGAGACCTCATTGAATACTTGAACAACTTCTTCAACTTCGGTGTCACCTCTTTAAAAGTTGAATGCACCATCATATTCTTCTTAGTAAAGCTTGGGAAAAACAAACATTACACCTTGAGCTTTGGTTGTTGAAGACACGAAGAGATCTAAGGGAGTAATGTGGAAGAATTTTTGTTGAAAGCACCTTCATGGAAAAGGCATCTCAAATTTTCAATCTATTTGCTTAATAAGAGCTATAGTGGACCTATACACAAGGCGTGTGGATCTAGATTCAGTGAACAAGGGGGCAAATCTAGCACATGGGGAAACCTGAGTATTATTGCTCCTAAGGATGAACTCTTATTTGACATGGCCATTACTCCCGCCTTGGGAAGCACTTTGGCTAATTGGATAGTAGAGCTTTTCTCTACTTCATTCATCTATGAGTAGGATAAGTTAGCTTTCTAGTAGCTTAGCTTATGGCTACATGAAAGGAGGGAATAACAAGCTCTTTATGTTCTCTGAAATATTTGTTATCATGCTAATTAGTTTTCTGGTCTTTACAATTCTGTAACACATGTTGCCATATCATTATCCATTAAACTTGATGCAACTCTTCTTGTTAATCATTGTCCAAACCATCATTCACCATTAAGACATCATTTGATGCCATTAATATTCTCAAAAAAAAAAAAAAAAAAATCTTCCCTGCATATATATGCTTTTCTCGTATGCTATTACTTATCCAAATTTCTCTTTCCTTTCAGGCTTTACTAATGATGAATCTAAATACAATGACGCCATTTCAAGATTGGTATATGTTTCAAATGATCCAAATCCATGTCGAGGAAGATGATGGTGATCTAGATTCTTCCCTTGAATTAATTGATGTGTTGCAAAATGGAGGCCAAAATTGTAGTTAAATGTGATAGACTTATACAAGAAGAAAATGGTGAGAAAAGATTTGAAACGAGAGAGAGAGAATAAGGAAATCTTGCTAACTTAAGTTGAACGATTGTCATCATTTTGAGGTCTAAAGTGAAAAGCTCAAGGATCAAAGGCCATCTTTCATGAGCCTAATTCCCAAACACTTTACCCAAAAGAGTCATCCTTTCATCAACCAAGTTGAGCCTAAAAAAGAAAAAGTGAGCCCTTTCTTTCATACCTATCCCAAAACCAAGGAATCTAGTTATTGGAGGCAAGATCATATTGCTAAAAGCCATGAAGAGAAATCTCAAAGGAGGAGCAAAGTTCAAAGAGAGCAAAAGCTCAACAAAAGGAAGAACAAAAAGAAAAAAAAAAAAGAAAAAAAAAAGAAAGAGAAAAAAGAAAAAAAGAGAAAAGAAATGACAAGGCAAATGTCACATGGCAAAGGTTTGAAATGGAAAGCTCCTAGCTAAAGCATGTAACTTGGGGAGCATATTGGGAAATTTTGAGCCTTTAATTCCCATTCTTTTCCTAAAACCTTAACCAAACCCTATTACAACCCAAGGAAAAGTCCTTGAGGGTTTTGAAACTATAGATATCAAAATGATGGCAGTCATTAGACTAAGAATAGCAAATCATAATCAAATTCAAAAGCTAGTAGATTTAATGATGAGAGGCCATGTTTGTTTATCCTAAATATTTTACATTGTCCTTAGTCATCCTTTTTGAGCCTAAAGAAAAGCCAATCATCCAAATTATAAGAGTCGAGATGATTTTCTTGTGAATTTACCTACATCATGAACCTGGGGAGTGAAGAGTGATTGTGAAAGGGAAATACCTATGGAAAGAGATTTTGAGCCTTCATATCTTTCCTTTTGATAACCTAACCCAAAACCACATTACAAGCCAACAGTAGTCTTTATTAGTGAATTTAACAGCTCTTAGTTTAATCATGAATTTCTTTAAAAAAATAAATAAATAAAAGGGCAACCTAGCAAGCTAAATGTTTCCTTGACCTGGAAAGTTGAAGATCCAGTGATGAAAGGCATTGTTTCTCTATCCCAAACAATTAACGTTGTCTTTTGCTTACCCTTTTTGGGTCAGAAATAGGCAATCATCCAAGTTTAGAAAAGCCAAGATGATTTTTTTGTTATTAACCCACATCAATGAACGGGTCATGAAGAGGGAAATGTAAGGGGGAATATATGGATTTTGAGCCTTTATTCCTTTCTTTCATAATAGCTTAACCCCAAGCCACATTACAAGCATAGATGAAGTCCTTATTTGAGGATTTGAAACTTTCTCTGTCAAGGAACAAAAAAAAAAAAAATAAATAATAATAATAATAATCCTTATTTTAGTAAGTCTAAGTTGGTTAGCATTGCTACAAGCTTAATGGTTCATATCTATCTTCTAAACATGAAAGGTTAGTTCATAGGAAGGAGATAGATTCAATTTGTCTACTTTGGCATGGAAGTAGACATTGCCTCATATGCTAAGAGCTAGATTGGTGGAAGTACAAAGAGAATAAATTCTTGAAGCAAATACTTTATAGCCTAAATTTCTTCTAGCTTTGTCAAAATTGTTGCATCAAAAGTTATACACTTCAAAAAAAAACAAATGTTTATCTCAAAATCACATCATCCTCAAACTCTCAATACATTGTCCGTCCACATTATCCACATCTAGTCTTCTCTTTCTATCCATTCATATTACCCACACCCTAGCCTTCTTTTTCTTGTTTAGATTGGAATGCTAATTGGTTATGATGCTTTATTTCAATTAATATAATTGCTTTATTTAACTGAAATCTCTTGACAAATCTACAAAAAGATGAAAGTTGCAGAGAAAAGCAAAAGCTTGATTTAATGGTCATGGTGCTTATCCTATCTTGCAATGATTTGAAGATTTTCCCTAGTGAACTAGAGATGTTCTCAAGTCACTGAACTTTATGCAAAGCATGTCATTGAGCCTATTAATGAATGCACAACATAAAAGACACTAGACTCTTGCCAAGTAAGGACATCCACCATATATTCAGGGAAGTTTCTTAATCTCTCTTCATTTTACATTATCTTCTATGTGAAAGTTGTCTCACTTGCATTTGTTTCATTGTTACAGATCTTTCAAACATTACCTTCATTTGGCCCCTTGGCTATGTTTACCCTCATTTGGCCCTTTAGCCACTCAAACTTGCTCAGTCCTTTGACCGTTGCAACTTAACTTGCTTGGTTATAAAACCGTTTCTTACTTGGTTATAAAACCATTGTTGTTCGATTGTAAAATCATTTGTTGCTCAGTTATAAAACCGTTTCTATTCAACTAGCTTGGTTATACAACCATTGCTACTCAACTGGCTTGGTCGTTTGATCATGGCCACTTGACTTGCTCAATCATTTGTTTGTTACAACTCAACTTACTCGGTTATAAAATTGCTTCTTGTTTGATTATAAAACTGTTTCTTGTTCGATTATAAACCATTTCTCACTTGGTTATAAAATCATTTCTTGTTTGGTTATAAAACCGTTTGTTGCTTGGTTATAAAACCGTTTCTACTCAATTAGCTTGGTTATACAACCATTGCTACTCAACTAGCTCGGTCGTTTGACCATGGCCACTCGACTTGCTCAGTCATTTAACTGTTGTAACTCAACTTATTCGGTTATAAAATCGCTTATTGTTCGGTTATAAAACCACTTCTCACTTTGTTATAAAATGATTTCTTGTTTGGTTATAAAATAGTTTCTTGTTCGGTTATAAAACTGTTTCTGCTCAACTAGCTCGGTTATACAACTGTTGCTACTCAACTTGTTCGGTCATTTGACCGTTGCAATTATAAAACTATGTTTACTTTTCTTATTTGCTCATTTGACCGTTGCGGTTATAAAACTATTTTTACTTTACTTGTTCGGTCATTCGATCATTATGGTTATAAAATTGTTTTTACTTTTACTTGTTCGGTCATTCAACTGTTGTGGTTATAAAACCGTTTTTACTTTACTTGTTTGGTCATTTGACTGCTGCAGTTTCTTAACCATTTTTACTTTACTTGTTCGATCATTTGACCGTTGCGGTTATAAAATCATTTTTTATTCCATTTGTGCGGTCATTTGACCTTTGCAATTATAAAACCATTTTATTCCACTTGTTCAGTCATTCAACTATTGCAATTATAAAACCATTTTTATGTCATTCGTTCAATTAATCCGATCGTTGCAGTTTCTTAGCCATTTTATCTCATTCGTTTGATTAATCTGATTGTTGTGGTTTCTTAATTGTTTTATCTTATTCGTTCAGTTAATCCAATCATTATGGTTTCCTAATTGTTTTTACTTTACTTGTTTGGTCATTCGATTAGTTTTACTTGTTTAGTTGCAAAAAAAAAAGAAAAAAAAAAGAAAAAAAAAACAAAAACAAAAAAAAAAAGAGTTAAAAAATTTGAGTTATTTTTGCCTTTTCTTCTCATTCTTAACAAAAAGAAAAGAAGAAAAGAAAAGAAGAAAAGAAAACACAAGAGTGGTAACTTTCATAATTCAAATTTTTAATAGAACTTTATTTTTATTTTTATTTTAGCTAACATATTTTGCCTTTGCCTTTGCTTTGCTTTCCTTGTTAGGTTCATGAGTAAAAAGGGGGATTTTGTGAATAGGATTGGAAAAGAAGTTGGAAGGTGAGGGACTGAATCAAAGAAATGGAAAGTTGGAAGGGTGAAATGCATTAAAATTCCTAAAATCCAAAATCCACAATTATCCAAACCCAAAAGCCTAAAGCCCACTTACCCAAACCCAAAAAAAAAGCAAAACCCAAAAAAAAAAAAAAAGCAAAAATCCTTCCCTCTTCCTTAAATGTTGTTCTACAGCTCTGCAAGTGGTTTTGCGCTTTCTCTGGTTATCCGTTCCGCTTTGCATCCATGTCTTGTTTTTTATCAAGATGGCCCACATTTCAGAAGCCTTATACAAGAGACAAAGACCAAAGGCTATTAGTCCTTTGCTTTCCAACGTACAGAAATCAGCAGCTATCGAGAGGTTGAAGGGGTTCAATTTTGGCATTTTAATGATCAAGGGTGCAGAAGAAAAGGGCTGGATCAAAAACCTAGGGATAGATCTAGGTTCTTTGTTTCTTTTCTTTTCTTTTGCTTTTTGCTTTTAGTATAAATAGGGGTGTTGAGGAGTCGAAAAGGGTTTTTTTTTTTTTGTTTGGATGTGGTGTTAACGGCGGAGAAAAGGAGGGATTTATCTATTGGAAGGAGATCGTCTTGTGAAAGGAGATTGTGGATTTCATCTCATTGCTAGGTATAGCTCTCAACAGAGAATTATTTTTTAGGCAAATGGTGAAAGAGATGTTGGAAGCTTGATCCCGTGGGTGGGATTCCTTCCATCAGATTTAGATCTATTTTTCTTTTAAAGATCTACCATGCTTGTTTTTATTTTTCTGTGGTTGTTTGCTTTTCCTTTTTAGGTCTAATGTTAAGCTTGTATATTTGTCATTGGAAAATTGAATGAAAAAAATCCAAAAAAAAAAAAAATTGTCCAGTTCATTTTGCTTGATGAATGTGATTTTTTTTTATGATGAATGTGTTCTTTCTTTTGAAATGATGAACCCTGATTTTAAGTTTCTTTTTTTTATGTTTGATCTATTTTTGTCTACTTCGAGTGATGGGTTGTGTTTCTAGATTGGGTTAACTTGACCCAGTCTAGTAGAAAAAAGAAGGCCAACAAAAAAAAAGGGGGCTAAAACGAACATAAACAATGTGTGTATATATATATATATATATATATGTATAAGAATGATTAGTAATTAAGTAGGTTAATCAGTTTAATTTATTATGGTTGATGAAATTAATTAACTTTAATTAAAATAAATTAATCATGTTTATTGACTTTAATTTGAGATTATTAGATTTATTTAATTATCTTAATTAAAGGTTGATAAATGTGATTAATTAATTTTAATTAATCTTAATTAATATCAAATTAATCATTCAATTAAACTAATTATCATGATTAATTAACTTAAATCCTTAATTTTCTTTAATCTTGGTCAAAGTCAAAATTACCTTTATTTATTTCAAATTTCACCCAAAAACTTTTATAATTAAGCAATTTAGTCCAAAGGTTTCAAATCTTTTCAAACTAGTCTTCTACGTTTTTGAATTTAATCAAGTCAGTCCTCCATGTTTTTGAATTTAATCAAATTAGTCCATTTAATTTTTTACTTGTGCTCATGGTGCATGGATGTCTTTGATTTTGTCTATTTTAGTCCAAAAGTTTAAAAGATGTTACAATTTGGTCCATCTATTTCAAGCTTACTTATTAAGACTTAAGTAAACAAATAAAGAATAAGTTGAATCAAAACCTCAATGTTAAAGTATGCAACTGTATTTAAACGAAGGATTATAAGGTGCGCACATGCCCTTCCTCACTCCTAACCGAACCCCCGAACCCCAATCTCTGTACAAACCCATTTTAGGTAACTTGTCCCACCTTATAATGTAGACGAGTGGCAACTCCTTTTCTTATATTTTTCACAGTTAGCTTAATGTTTTTTTTAAGTTGTGTGGTCATCAACAATTGTTTTTCATTGTAGCCTCCTTACGACGTCTTCTAGTAATTGCCTTAGGAGGGACACCAACTTAGATCTTATCATGCACGCTTTGGCACGAGTCAGCAAGGAAGATTGATTGGAAAAGATTTGAACTTTTCGAGTTGCAAAAGGAGTTACAGCTTACTTTGAGTCCACCATGCTTGGAAGGATATGGTAGAATTTTTCTTTGACTAAAAGATGAAAGGCAGAGATTTCCCCAATGAAGTTACCAAAGATGTGTAGTCATAAAATCTGCAAAAATCAAATAATATGTATTGATTTGCAAAAATAAATACAAATTGCAATGAATTTGAAAGGAAAATGGGAAACAATCTCTGATTTGGAGTGCTGTAGTGCACGCGCTCGAGTTTTGAAGAGTAACACATCCTAGAACAACACGATCCTCTGATTAATAGCTGAATCTAGAAGGGTAAGGGCTTAAGCTTCTTGTCCTTCGAGGGATTCAAGACTTGCACTTGAAACTTTTCCTCCTTGACATGGATTTGGAGCTTACCCTTGGCAAGAGGTTGGGGCTTGAAACTTCGAGAATTATAGAAGGGGACTTGAAGCTTGTTGTTCCTCTCCTTTTCTCCTTCTTCCTTCTTTTTGTTTTTTTTTTTTTTTCTCTTCTCCTCCCCTTTCTTCATCAAATGATGGCCTATTTATAGGCAAAGGAGTCTTGCCAAATGACCTCAAATACCCTTGATTTTTAGGATAATTTGGTCATTTTAATATATTTATTTTTTAAAAATTTAAAGAGAAAATATCTCTTTAAAGATTTATTACCCCAATTTTCATGATTTTACCAAGGTAACATATTTTAACCTTAAAAAATTTTTAATGTCTACACTAAGAAATATCTAATTTAATTTTAAATTTTTAAAAATTTAACTTTTTTTTTATCTCTTTGTTAAATTTTTGATAATATGAAACAACTATCCATTAACAATTTTTTAAAAAAAATTTATTAATATTTCATGAAAAATTGAATTTTATTCTATTGCTTTGGTGGAGATTTCCTGTAAGTTAGATTGCTAAAATGACTAAAATAAAATTGTCGTGTAATTTATAGGTCCACTTAAAAATAAGTTTTCACATTTGTAAGTTACAATAGTTTTAATTATAAAACTCCCCTTATAGGTAACATAAATTCCAATTTTTTTATTAAACTAAACAAAGTTATTAAACAAAAAAATAACAAAAATTGGGAACTCTGTCTGAACCTAGAAAGCCTTGGTTCTTACCAACGGAACTTATTGTTCCGAGTAGCTTTGCTTCCTTTATTTAAATTCCAATTTGTAAAGAGGTTTTTTCGGAGGGTCTGACTCAATTGAATTTCAAATTAATCAATGAAAAAAAAAAAAAAAACCCTAGTTCTTCAAAACCAAACTTTAGGATACAATTGACAAGAGTGAAAGACGAGATCGAAAATGGTGCGGTAGAGGAAGGTGATTTTGGGTTTGGGATTGAAAATTCTTTTCCTTATGCAAGTGGTAAGGATAGGTCTGAGGTTAAGGACCTTGGACGTACTGCTACATTTCCTTAATGACTGAAGTAACACGTAAGTTCAGTTCTTCCCGGTCATGCAATTGCATGACAGCTACAATAGGCATGTTTGCACCCAATCCTCTATCCCCAAGATCATCGCCTGAATGGACATGTTAGACTCCGATTATCTCGTTAAGCAGGCCACATGGATACCTCATTAGGGCTTATAAATACCTCCATGGGCCACCTCGAAAAGGTTATTGAAACCGACCTAAAACTTCTTTTTCCATAATTCTTAAAGGTAGACCAAACTATTGCTGACTTAAGCATTGGAGTGTCTACCCTGAGGATCCACCTCAAGGCTTTGCAGGTCATCCCGAAGAGAAGACTTGGACTGGAAGAAGTTATCTAGTTTGTAGTAATCACATTTGGCGTCGTTTGTGGGAAACCAAACTAAAAGCTTCATCATTCTTTTGTTACCATGGTTAATACTCGGTCTGTCCGAATTAGAAGTCAAGCCTAGCCTCTTGGACGAGGTCAACCTCAGCACCCATATAACCTTCCACCTTATACCCCAAACCTATTTGCTCCTATGGAACATGTAGAATGAGTCGATGAGAACCAACCTCACAATTCCGTTCCCACTCCTGACCAGGGTGATGCAGTCTTAGGTCAACTTGTAGCAATGCGATAGCAGTTTGGCGTCTTTCAGTTAGTTTTGGCTCAGCTCTTAGCTCGAAATAATCTTGGAGATCCCCTCATTAATCTACTAAATCTAACTCAGCAACCCCAAGTTCAACCGCAATACCCCAACCCAATTCACTCCAATGATAACCGACATGTTCCTGCTCTTAGTGAATCACATGATCAATCTCGTGGTTCCACCCTAACAACCTCTGCCTGATGAAGTCACACGATGTCTGGACAGTTTAGAAAAGATGATGGCTAAGCAACGAGGTGCTCCACTTCTTCAAAATAATGCTACTTCAATACCTCATCCTTTGAACATCAACATAACCTTGTAACCTTATCCTACTGGCTTCAAGATACCTCAGTTTGAAACATACGATGGAACCAAGGATCCAGATGATCATCTACATGCTTTTTCTTACTGTATGCAAGCTCAAAGTGCCTCTAATGCCTTGATGTGCAAAATCTTTCCTTCCACTCTCTGAGGTAATGCTCGAACTTGGTATTATAGTCTACCCCTGAGATTTATCAGCTTTTATACAGAGATGGTGTTTGTCTTTGCTACTAAGTTCTCCAATATAAGGTTAATCAAGAAAACTACACCTAAACTTATGCGAATCATATAGAGGGAGAGAGATTTAACGATGCAATCCTAGAGGTTAGCTCATTTGACCAAGCTGTAGGAATTGCAATCATAATTCAAGACCTTAATCATGACAGATTCAAGGACAATCTCATTAAGCATCCCTTTGCTTCCTTTAATGAAGTTAACGATAGATCCTTGAAATTCATAACAACTGAAGAATATGCTTTATCACAGAAGCCAGTGCCGGCTAAGAACCACAACCCATCTTGGAGAAAAAAGGGCCAAATTAGGAAGTGAGTGAAAACAGCTCCTAACCGAGGTCCAATGTCGATCTCCACTCTCAAATTTGGAAAACAGAATTTAGTGGGACCTTAACAAACTTTTGGGAAAGCACCAACTATGTGGACCCCTTTTAATCTATCGAGGTTGCAGATATTCATGCAAATTAAGAATAAGATGGACGTGAGGTGACCAACGCCAATGAGAAGTTCTCCTACTACCCGAGATCACACCAGATACTGTGATTTTCATCAAAATCATGGTTATACCATGGAGGAGTGTAATCAGCTGAAGTTTGAGTTGGAAGGCTTAGCTCGAAAAGGGATGTTGAATAAGTACATTCAGAAAGCAGATCAGCCTAACTTTGTCAAGGAACAGGGGTCACAGTCATAGGGGCCTCGTGATCCATGTAATAGGAAAGGAGTGGGATATTAACAAGCTCCACCACCCTTCCCACCACCAGCTAGAATCATTTACATGATTATGGGTGGCTTAGAAGCAAGAGGTTTGAGCTTCAAACAGTGGAAACTGTATGTCAAAGAGGTGAAACACCAAAACAAAGCTCAGAAATGAAAGTTTGATGATGCTGAATGGAAGAGTCAACCCATCACTTTTACATTTGCTGACCTTGATGGAGTTATAACTCCCCGCAATGACCCATTGATCACATCTATTGTAATCAACAACTGTGAGGTACAGCGTGTTTTTATCGATCTAGGCAGTGCACTAGATATCATGTATTACCATTGTTTTGAGCCTGGACCCAGCTCTATTACTGAGATACAATGGTCCTATATATGGTTTTAACAACTAGCCTATTTAGGTGGAAGGGGTCCTTGCTCTCAATGTGGCATTTGGAAGTGGCCAAACTTATGTCACCCCCTCAATTCAGTTTTCAGTTGTTAAAATGGTGTCACCTTTCTAGGCCGGCCTACATTAACGAAGATCCAAGCTATGGTCTCTCAACCCCATCTCTGCATGAAGTGTCCCACTCCTATGAGAATAGCAACACTACGAGGTAATCAGGAGATAGCCAAACATTGTTATATTACTTCAGTTACAAGACCGCAAAAAGAGAAGAATCAGATGTCAAAAACCATTCAACAGCAAGTTCATGATCAGTAGCAGGTGACAGGGGTAAAGATACTTGATCATCGACCGGAGGATGAAACCCGAGCTGCCCCAATTGAAGATGTTGAGGAAGTATAGATCGATGATAGAGATCCAAACAGCAAAACCCAAATCAAAACTGGTTTGAACCAAGACGAAAGAGCCGAGCTGATAGCATTCTTCCAAGCCAACAAAGATGTTTTTGCTTGGACCTCTGTAGACATGCTAGGAGTTCCCACCTCTATATCTATGCACAGACTCAGCACAAATCCCCTGAAAAAGCCAATTGCACAAAAACGACACCCCTTTGGGGGGAAGAGGCTCAAGGTGATTAAAGATGAAGTAGAAAAGCTTTTATAGGCAAGTTTTATCAGAAGAGTTGACTATTGTGAATGGGTCATAAACCTGGTGTTGGTCAAGAAATTTAATGGTAAGTGGCAAATGTGTATCAACTATACTAATCTTAATCAAGCCTATCCTAGGGATTGCTACTCAATGCCAAATATTAACAAACTGGTTGAAGCAACTTCTGGAAATGAGAGGTTGAGTCTCTTAGATGCATATTCTAGTTATCACCAAGTTCCAATGGCCCCCGAAGACGAAGAGAAAACTTCGTTCTATGCAGGAGATGAAATCTATTGCTATGTCATGATGCCTTTCGGCCTAAATAACGCAAGTGCCAGCTATTAGAAAATGGTAACCATTGTATTTCAAGCTCAAATTGGTAGGAGCTTAAAAATTTATGTTGATGACATTGTTGTAAAGGGCTTGAAAGCTGAAGATTATATAGTTGACTTGGAGGAAACTTACACTAATTTGATGAAGAACATAATGCAGTTAAATGCAACCAAATGTATCTTTGGAGTGGAATTCGAAAAATTTCTAGGTTTCATGGTTTCTAGACGGGGTATTAAGGTCAACCCAAAGAAGATTAAAGCGATAAAGGAGATGAGACCTCCAAAGTCAGTGAAAGAGGTGTAGAGGTTAACTGATAGGGTGGCAGCCCTTTATAGATGCGTTTCCAAATTTGTTGACAAGTGTCTTTCATTCTTCAAGATTATGAGATCTATGACTCAAAAAGACGAATTTGGCAAATAGAAAAAGTTCGACTAGAATTCAGAATGACAAACTGCATTTGATGAGCTTAAGCCTTATCTTAGCTCACCTCCATTGCTAATGAAAGCTGTTGATGGGGAGATATTTTACCGATACCTCGGTATCTCACACGAGGCAATCAGCTCGGTACTAGTTAGGGAAGAAGGATAATAGCATCAGCCAGTTTACTATACTAGTAAAGTGCTACATGGGGTAGAACAGAGATATTCCATTGTCGAAAAAGCACTCTAGCAGTTGTTATCTCCGCTAGGAAGGTAAGGCCATACTTTCAGTCACACTCGATTGTTGTCCTCATAGACTAGCCACTTTGGCAAATATTACAGAAACCAGAATGTTCAAGTAGATCGATCAAATGGGCAGTCGAGTTGGGAGAGTTTGAAATAACGTTCCAGCATAGATCAGCAATTCGAGCTCCAGCAATTCGAGCTCAAGCACTAGTAGATTTTGTTGTTGAATGCACTTTTGATCAACCAAGTGAGAAAGTCCAACCAATTACATGCGTTTTATATGTTGATGGTGCATCAAATAACAAAGGATTAGGAGCTGGAGCAATCTTGGTGAGACTAGATGGCTACCGAAGTAAGCATGCCTTGAAGTTCAATTTTGATGCAACTAACAACATGATCGAATATGAAGCTTTGCTACTTGGTCTACAGCTAGCATTGGAATTGAAAGTCACAACAATACAGATTTACAATGACTCACAGCTTGTAGTTAATTAAGTTAACTCCATTTGCGAGGTAGTCGACCCAACTTTGATGAAGTATATAGCTCTGGCGGCCAAACTCAAGTGCAAATTTGAGAAATTCTGTCTGACTAAGATATCTCGAGCTAAAAATGAACAAGCAGATTCACTCTCTAAGTTAGCCAAGCAGATTCACTCTTTAAGTTAGCCAAGCAGATTCACTCTCTAAGTTAGCCAAGCAGATTCACTCTTTAAGTTAGCCAAGCAGATTCACTCTCTAAGTTAGCCAAGCAGATTCACTCTCTAAGTTAGCCTCTAATAGTTCCCGAGGTGCAAGATCAATTTTTTGTTGAGGTTTTAGATGAGTCTAGCTTCAAAAAACCAAAGATGATGAAGATCAACACGGATCCAAGCACACCAAGCTAGACAAACCCAATTGTATCTTTCCTACAGGATGGGTCAGTTCTTGATGATAAACAGAAAGAAATGAGACTGCGAAAGAAAGCATCTCGATATGCTTTAATGGATGGAGTCCTATATAAGAGGTCTTTCTCATTTCCCTTTCTCCGATGTTTGAGCCCTTATGAAGCTGAATATGCACTTCGGGAGGTCCATGCAGGTGTTTGTGGGAGTCATGTTGGTGCTCTAACCCTAGCTCATAAAGCCCTCAGACAGGGATACTATTGGCCAAATATGCATAAAGATGCGACTGATATCATGCAAAGGTACCCAAAGTGCCAATTTTTTGCACATCTAACTCACCAACCAACTGAAGAACTTACAAATCTAGTGGCACCATGGCCATTTGGTCAGTGGGGACTTGATCTCTTAAGTCTATTTGTGAAAGGAGTTGAAGGAGTAACCCATTTGGTAGTCGGAGTTGATTACTTCACGAAATGGGTTGAACCTGGGCCATTATCCAGCCTTACCTCCAAGAAGGTTGAAGACTTTGTTTTCAATTCAATCATCTGTAGATATGGGATTTTGAATCAAATTGTGGCTGATAACAAAACTCAGTTCAACTGCTCCTCATTTAGAGACTTCTGTTCCAATCATGGAATCAAATTACAGTTTACCTTAGTGACCACCCAGAGTCTAATGTTATGGTGGAATCTGTCATTAAAGCTATTTTGGAAGGAATAAAACCGAAGTTGGAGCAGCATAAGGCCGGGTGGGTAGATGGGCTTAACAACGTGCTATGGGCATATAGAACTATGAGCCGAACTATCACATGTACTATTTTCTACCTCTATTTATTCTCTCATTACTTTATTTCTTTTCTTGTTGCCCCATTTTAGGTCAAATATATATATAACATATAAAGCATATGCTAAAGACTATAACTTAATGAAATAGGTGAAACGTTATACCACCTGGCCTTTAGTACCGAAGCAGTCAGTTCCGTTGAAATAGGAGTCCTAAGCTTTAGGGTCACCCATTTTGATGAAGAATGAAATGGACAATTGCTTCCAAAGAACCTTGATCTGCTTGACGAAGTTAGAGAAGGAGCATGACTTCGAACTTTGGCGTACAAGCAAAGATTAACCAACTTCTATAACAAATGGGTTTGCCCTTGAACATTTAGAGTTGATGACCTTGTTTTAAGGAAAGGCGAACTAACGGGATTTGAAATTCATTTTGGCAAATTAGCCCCAAATTGAGAAAGCCCTTATACAATAGCCCGAAGTGCCGCACCCAGATGCCTATATTCTTCAACATGCTGAAGGGAAAAGAGTTCCTACAGTTTAGAATGTGAACAATTTGAAAAATTTTTCCCCTTAATTCAATTCCCCTAGTGAACTTTATCTTACTTTATAATTGTTTATAACGGTTGCCCCATTTTAGGTCAAATATATATAACATATAAAGCATATGCTAAAATTGTAACTTAATGAAATAGGTGAAACACTATAGCACCTGGCCTTTGGTACCGAAGCAGTCATTTCTGTTGAAATAGGAGTTGTAAACTTTAGGGTCACCCATTTCGATGAAGAATGAAATGGACAATTGCTTTGAGTGAACCTTGATCTGCTTGACGAAGTTAGAGAGGGAGCACAACTTCGAACTTTGGCATATAAGAGAGATTAGCCAACTTCTACAACAAACGGGTTCACCCTTGAACATTTAGAGTTGGCGACCTTGTTTTAAGGAAAGCCGGCCTAATGGGATTTGAAATTCGTTTTGGCAATTGGGAAGGCCCTTATACAATAGTCGAAGTGCCGCATCCAAGTGCCTATATTCTTCAAGACGCTGAAGGGAAAAGAGTTCCTAGAGTCTGGAATGTGAACAATCTGAAAAAGTTTTACCCTTAATTCAATTCCCCCAGTGAGCTTTATCTTAGTTGATAATTGTTGATTCCTCTATTTGAGCTCAATTTCTTGTCATTTAGTTCTTTGGAACTTTTATTCGAGGTCAATTTCTTATCATTTAGCTCTTTGGAACTTTTGTCCAAGGTCAATTTCTTATCATTTATTTCTTTGGAACTTTCATTCAAGCTCAATTTGTTTCTTGAATTTGAATCTTGTTAATGAATTTCACCTCATGTTCGAGGTGATTTCCTTTCAATTTCAACTTGAAGCATACACAACAAAAATGCATAAATGTGCAAAAAAAATCTCAAATATATAAATAAATTGTCAACAAATGTTACAAAAACATTTAAAACAAAACACACTATTTACAATTTAGCACAAGAAAGAAGAAATTAGAAAAACAAAGCATGTTATTGTGCTGATGGAGGTGGTTGGTTCACTTCGTCTATTGGAGGTGGCTGGTTCACTTCGAGTAAAGGTTGTTGATTAACTTCAGCACTTCTGACCTCTGGCTCATTCTCTCTAACTTCAACACCCCCCACATTGGCACTTTTGACTTCTGTTTCTTCCTCAACCATAACAAACTTGAAGTTGAAGTTAGGAGGAGAGATGGTACGACATTCACTATTGTGCTCCCATTTCAGCTAGACTTTAGGATGAAAGTCAGTTCTCATGCTTTCTCCATCTTCTTCCACCCCTCCTTCTTGCTCCTTGAAAGTGATGCCAGTCACATCTAGTTCAGGATGTTAAGCCTTCACTTTCTTTCTGTAGTCGAAGAATGCCAGAATCGCCATAGGAAACCGGTAAAGGTTCACAATGTTGTCAAAAGTGCTAACTTCAAGAACCTAGCAATGTGCTCCTCCATCGCGTTGTGAACCAACAAGTTTACATTCTTCTTTAGCTCAACAACAACCTTTTTCATTCCTCCAATCTCTTTCTACGCTTCTATTTTCTCCTCACAAATTCTTCTTTTTCTCTCCTTAAGTGCCAATTGCGTCTTCACTACATCATTCTCCTCCTAAAGCTGCTTGAGCTCTGGCATGACCTCTGCCAGATCTTTCTCCACTTCATCCTTCTTCTTCCCCAATTCCTCCTTCTCTTTCACCAAAACATTACGTTCCTTGAGGGTTTCAAAAAACTTCTGTGACAGAGCATTCACCAAGTTCGTAGCTTGCAACACCCAAACAGTAAAAAAAAAAATTATATATATAAAAAAAAAAACAATCATACCTTAAGAACGTGCTTCACAATCTCAACCCCACCATCGCTCAACACCTTTTCCCGAGCTTGGTAGTGATCCACCTCAAGGAAGGTTGAGTTTATAAACCTCTTCGTAGCTGTCATGCTCTTTGTATCGAACAAGCTGCCTTGCTACGAAGGAGCAAGAACAAGGGACTTCCCGTTTCCATGGGTTATAACCTCAACCTCCCTAAGTTTAGGATCCAGTTCAACCAATGGTGGACAAGGTATGAACTTCACCACCTCATTCCCCCTAAACTCCTACTCCTCCACCCTCATCCTCTTTTGAGCAGGTCTAACATCCTCACTTCCTTTCCATTTGAGCTCCGGCCTTAGCCCTTTAATATCTGAAACTCGAACGGAAGTACTAGAAGGTTGTCCCTTTTCTCTACCTACTTCTCCCTTTTGACTTGCAGCAATTGTTGTGATTGAAGTCTTTAACTTTTTCCTTGCCTTCTTCGGAATAACCATCCCCCCAACTGTAGCAAGAAACTTGTCCATCTTTTCTGCAAAATAAGGAAATGTTAAAACAACAATCAGAACCCCACTACACAATTATACAATGCAAAATAAGACACACCTTCACTCAAAGAGTTTGCCCCATAAATCTCAACCGCCTCCATAGCATCTGAGTTGGTGAGATACATGATGTCTACCACATCATCCCACTCTTTCACCAACTTCTCTACGTCCTCTTCCTTATCTTCATTCAAACTATACTTATTTTGGTTGGCCTTTTTTGCCTTCCAAGTGGATAAGAATTACACTTCAGCATCCCCCTTCCCCCACTCAGTGTCATCAACGAAGAAAAATTTCTCCTTCCATCCCTTGATGAATGATGGCCCTACACTAAACAAGTTCCTCTTCTCCCTATTGAACACTCAGGGAGTAAAGTAAACCAACCTTTCTCCTTTGTACTCCCACCCTTTAGGACAAAGAAGGGCTTAAACATGTTTATAGTATGAACTCTAACCCCCCGAGCTCGACAGTAAACTAAGAAACCTATGACTACGTTCATTGCATTTGGGGCCAGTTGTGTTAACCCTATGCTGTATTTCGACAACAGCCCAACTAGGAGTTCAAGAATAGGAAACCTCAACCCTACTGCCAAATAATGTGCATACAAAGGCATCCAATGATTTCGAAGTGCTAAGCACGCTCTCTCTTCTACCCCAACTAGTCTAATCAGTACTTGATGGGGGAGGTCATATGTTTCAACTATATGTATTAGGCTGTCCCTACTCAGCCATTTCGTTTCATACCCCACAACTTCAGACACAATGTCCACCTCTACATCATAACACCTTTCACATGTACCCTCAGCCTCCAAAATATTCAAAGGAATTCCCTCTCCTTCAACCATCTCTTCAACTCTCACCTCTACCACTGTTCTCTCCGACCCAAATGACTCAGTTCTTATGCTAACTTCCGCCACCATCCTAACTTCCTCACTCCCCTCAACACTCAATGTTTCCTTCGATGACATCTCTTCCGTTTCATAGCTTTCACTGCATGGAGTAGAAGGTGGGATGCAGTCAGGATCTTCAATAAACTCTAACTCACACTCTATGTCACTCTCATTCTTAAACCTAACCTCTTTCAAAGGACTTAAATCTAAATCAGAGAAGGTGAGTGGACAATCAAACTCCTCACTAAAACCAAAATCACCAAAGAACATTAAATTATCTAATCTTAATAGCATAAAACTTAGTTGTATTTCAAAACTTTGAACAGAAGTCCGGTCGTACTAGCTCTGTTAAACTTTTGGCAGAACTTTAGTAGCAAATACAACAAAGATAATAAAAATTTACATAAGCATGGTATATATACCAGTACGAGTTTGCAGTTTAACAGCTATGATTAATCTTATCTAACGATAACAATTACACCAATTTGAATTCGATGGTTAACTCATAATGGGACTCTTTCGAATTCGATGGTTCGTTTTCGGTGGCGTCTGTTGAGTTATTTCAGTTATTTTTCACAGTCCATATTTATTATACACGTCTTTTAAAAAGACAGCTGTTATGTCACGTACTAACTCCGTGTCAGGCCTTTTACACAGGCCTATCTAAACCTAGCCCAATACATTTCTTTTGTACAAATGTCTTTCATTATATTATAAAAGTGTTTAATCCCAGTGACCACTAGTCACCAATTTTACTTTGGCTATAGTCTCAGTCACCACGTGTCACCAATTTTACTTCGGCTACGGCCTCAGTGACTACATGTCACCAACTTTACTTCAGCTACGGCCTAAGTGACCACATGTCACCAATTCCAATTTTACTTTTGCTACAACTTCAGTGACCACTAGTCACCAATTGTACTTCGGTTACAGCATCAGTGACCATGTGTCACCAATTTTACTTTTGCTACGGCCTCAGTGACCACTAGTC